GAACTAAAATAAGTGTACTTGAAACTAGCCCATTCCACGTGCCAACTACTCTTGTAATACTCATTCACTTCTTTAAACAACTCTTTGAGATAACACTGTGTTATGTCGAACGCCACGTCTTTGCCTAGATTGTTCACGAACTCAGCGACCTCTGCTTCTGTTCCGAAATAGTTCTCTATAATGTTATGGTCGCACAGATACTCAACGTCCTTGTATGTGTTCATGAGACAGTCTAGTAGCGTCGCGTATGTCGTGAAATGCTTCGAGCACGACGCGTGGCACTGCTCGTAAGCCACACAGTTCTGTAAGAAGCTGCTCATGAAATCGTCGACGGTGATTGTCGGCATCTCGATCGTGCCTCGTTTAAATCTAACCACAAGGAAGCTCTCCGCGTCTTTTAGCTCCCGCAGTTTGATCCCGGCTCGCCGGAGCTTCGAGATGCTTTGGATGATGTGGGACGGAGACGGCGTTTTTTTCTTCCCTGGATTGTTTACCAGAGGCGCGTGAATCTCACTCTCCGGGATGAGGCTTGACCGGACGAGGTCGAGTAGGTGTTTGGCTCTTAGGTCGTTGAATCTTGCAAGATCTGCGTTTGTTCTATGCATCATGTTGTTGAAGAACGCAAACGCTAGAGACGCTAAAGAAGCTTTGGTCTCTTTCTCGTTATCTTCTGTTGTGAGATCGAACAAAGTTTTAAGAACGAAGAAAGGGATTTGATTCTCGATACGGAGAAAATCTCTGTAGAAGAAAGGAAGAACCCAAGCCATGGCCACGAGTGGATCGTTCGGTTCGAAAGGAACAAGTTTGCTCACTTTACGAAACAGCTCGAGAACGAAACAACCATCAAGAACCATCATCTCGTTGAACTCGTCCGAGTCCATGTGGATTGTCTCGGAGTAACACTCTCTGGCCTCTACCTCAACGTTCTCCACGCTCTTCATGTAATCCTCTAGTGTTAGGTTCTTCGTTTGGTGGGTTCGAGTGAGAAGAGCGTTTAGGTAGTGCCATTTGTGTTCTTCCATCATCCGGAGATGCAGTTGGCCTCGGTGGTACGGTCCAACCGAGACCACTCGCGGCTCGTAGCATTTGCCGTTACAATCAATCATGCTTTGAGGTACTCGGAAGATCGAGCAAGTTGGTTTACCGGCGGCTGAGCTGAGCAACCGCGGTGGCTCGTTTAACTTCTTATGCATCGTCTCAATGCGGATCTTGAAGAGGCTTTGTCCTCCGTCGTCTACGGAGGCATAAGCCGGTGTCGCCATTTTAATATTGGTGTGGGAATTGATGAAAGGGGTCTATAAAAAAGTGATTGAAGGGATAGTTTTGGAACTAAACGAGTGTTTGTGACTTGTATTTTTATTTTCATGGTCCACTAGATCGTCACATAACTTATTTCATTATATTTATTTTAAAGTTTTTTTTTAACTCATGACTTGGTCCATCCAACATGATCTTAATGTCCTCCGAAATTTCTTTGAAGACTAGTAGTGATTCTTATTACTTTATTTTAGAAATATTTCCCATAAAACAATGCAATCTAGAAGATTTAAATTGTTAGAAAGTATCGGTTGGTAT